GAGGGGGCGGAGGAGGGGGCGGAGGAGTTGGTGTCGGCCGAGGAGGCGGCGGCGGAGGCGGCGGCGGCTCTGGGCGGCGGTGTGGTGGAGCGCGACGTCTCCGGTCTGCTCGACGCCATGTTTGCAGCGCCGGAATTTGAGGAGGAGGAGCGGGCGGGTCGAGCTGACGCGGCATGATAGCATGTGTCACTGGGTACGTCACATCGCGAGATGTGGCCCGAGAGGCGGGAGTAAATAAATAACAACGGACATCGGTCATCGCTCTAAAGGGGAAGGACCCTGAGTTGAACAGGGGTTGTGCGCCAAGCCCTCCTGCTCGGCTCCAGCGAGTAGACAAGTGTTGTCATCAACAGAGTAGAAGGATCTGACCTCGGGGCCGATGTGACCAAGCGCTGGTAGCATGGTTTTACCTCACACCCATGGTCTCGTCACAGTGTGCCGGCAGTCGCCGGGCCGTGCCGGCCGAGGGGGAGGAGCGAGGCGGAGGGGCGCGGGGCGCGACGCACCGCGCGTCGGGCAGCGCCAGCACCCAGTCCTTGATAGCTTGATTCTCGAGCCCCTCGCTCTTCCCCGCTGCTGAGGCCGGGCAAGCTGCGGACGGCCTTGCCGATCTCGTCAACCTTGAGGGGAGTGACGTCCTTGGCCGTGGCGATGACGACGATGCCCACGGTCGCCCTCGCCGCCGGCGTTGGCGCTTGGCGGGTTGGGTGCTGCGACGAGTCTACCCCTGGCGAGCTCGTATGCCCCGACTCCAAAGAAGAAAGGCGGCAGCGGAGAAAGCGACACCAACAACGAGGGGAACGGCCACAGCGGCCGTCGTGCAACGCTCGGCAAACGAGAGCAAGAGAGCGAATCGGGGAGAGCCGGAGCCCGGGGAGGACGGACAGTGGAACTCCGAGACCAGGGACTGACAAAGTGGTTGTATGTAGAGTCGTGGTGTGCAATGTCGTGTCCTCTAGCTCCGAGTAGAGGGGGCGTCCTGCAGTTAAGGGGAAACCAGTACGCGGGTCTAACCCCTCGAAGACCCGTGTTTACTTTATGGCCCCTTCCCTGCGAACGCGCACCCCCCCCTAGGGGTAGGCTGACGGTCAGGGCTCTCTTGTTGGAGTGGTGGTTGAGCCGAAAAAAAGAAATTCGTTTGGGACAACAGTGGTGGCAGCGACCAGCGCGCCGTCCTCGGTCCTCCCAAGCTCCCATCCCTCCCTTGGGGTGTCTGTTTTCTTTATTTCTTTCTTTCCTCGCACAACACGGGCACGAAAAAGAAGTGGGGGGCGGTAATTTAGGTCGCGCGGCCGTAGTCGTTAGTAGTCGTGTCGTCATCGTCATCACAATCCTTCCGACCCGCCACGCCTTCGCCTGGCGACGAGTAGTACGTTCTCTGGCGTCACGCTCGCGTCGACGAAAGTGCTCAGCCGCGCCTCGAAGCCGTGGCTCCGCAGGTACTCGGCCCGCGCCTCGTCGAGCACATCCTTCGCCCGTCGACCGACGTCCGCCTGTGGTTGTGAAGCGGACATAAGAGAGCGATAGGTCCAATGAGTGTGCGGGGTGCTGAAAGAAACTTGTCCGAGCGCGTGTATGCCGCATCTATTTCGGCCGCGCCCGCACGGTGCTCTCCTGCGCGTTCACGCCTCTCGAGCTGACGCGGCAGAGGCGCTCAAACTCGGCCGCGCCGAAGCCTGCAGTGCCTCAGTGTGTGAGGGCAGCCTCGTGACTAGCGGTGTGCATCTAGGGCCCCAGGCACCGTCAGCCAGCCCGGCGGAGCGCAGCGAGGGGCGGTTCACGAAGTCGCGCCAAGAGCACCGGTGGTGGCAGCAAGTCGCCAGCAGGAGCTCGAGCGGGTCGGCGCTCGCGGCGACGCTCGCCGCGACGCTCGCGCGCAACGCGTAGTCGCTCGCCGCGCCGCAGAGGTGCTTCGCCAGGACCTGGCGAGGTCGGGCGAGGTCGGCGGGCGGGATCGGGCGAGGTCGGGCGAGGGCGGGCGAGATCGGGCGAGGGCGGGCTGTGGGCGAGGGCGGGCGAGGGCGGGCGAGGGCGGGAGCAGGGGCGGAGAGACTACTCACCACCAGCCCGGACGAGGACGACGCGACCTCCTCTCGCAGCGCCGCGAGGTCGACGTGCTCGAGTCCAACCTGCGACTCTCACGCACGCAGAGCCGTCACGCCCGCACAGTGGCCAGCCCGTGGACTCGAGGCTCGCCTTCAGGCGCGTCACGCTCGCGAAATGGCCTTCGAGCGCCGTGTCTGCCGCGAGCCTGCCGTGGCCCGATCGGCCCTTTGGCTTGCTGCCCTGGTCGAGCAGCACCAGCGTGTCCGAGCGGACCGCGTCGCGGTGCGCCTCTGCGACCGCGAGGGAGAGCTCTCCGTTCCCCGCGCCGAGCTCGACGATGCAGCGTCCTGCAGGGCGAGGGCGAGGGAGCGAGGAGTGTGTGTGTGTGTGTGTGTGTGTGTGTGTGTGTGTGTGTGTGTGTGTGTGTGTGTGTGTGTGTGTGTGTGTGTGTGTGTGTGTGTGGAGAGAGAGAGAGAGAGAGAGAGAGAGAGAGAGAGAGAGAGAGAGAGAGAGAGAGGGAGGGAGGGAGGGAGGGAGGGGGGGAGGGAGGGAGGGAGGGAGGGAGGGAGGGAGGGAGGGAGGGAGAGAGAGAGAGAGAGAGAGAGAGAGAGAGAGAGAGAGGGGAAGGAGAGTGCCTCTGCCGAGGGCGCCGAGCTCTGCGAGCTGCTCGGCGATCGCGCGGCGCTGTAAGCGGTGCCGCTCGCGCTTGCGCTCGTTGACCCCGAGGCCGTCGGGCAGAGCCGAGCTTGCAGGCGCGTGCCAGAGCGTGCCAGAGCGCCGCTCGAGGCTGGCTTCGAGCAGCGAAGCAGCCTCCATCGTGAGCGGCTCCTCAGGCTCGTCCTCGCCGCCCTCTCCGGTGTTGACGCCTCGCACAAACCAGGTCTGCGCCTCCTGCCTGCGGATCTCCTCCAGGACCGGGCAGCGGAGAAGGTGCGCCGCCACCCGACCAGGCCGCAGCGGCGTATTGCAACCCGGGGTGGGGCACTGAACGAGCGCAGGCTGCACGAGCGCAGGCGCCGGAGCTGCACGTGCAGGCGACGGAAGAGGAAGAACGCAGAGCATGAGAAGCGGTCAGCTCGTCCTGCGCTCGGTCGCTGGCGACGCCTGAGGGTCGGAAAAAGAATTCGCACGAGTTTGTTCTTCTTTTTCAAGAACCTGCTCGTGCAGGTGTGGACCCTGTCCTCCTCCCCTATCCCTCGTTTGCTTGTCTGCTTCTTTTTCAAGATCGCCCAAGATCGGGACCATGTCCTTCTCCAAAGAAAGAAATCAAAGTTTGGCCGCGCGCCGGCGAGGCGAGCCGCCAACAGCAAATAGGCCGAAAGCTAAGAAGCACGGCGGGCACGCACGCTCCCTCTCACGACGGGATCGCGAGCTCGCCCTTGGACATGGCCAGCAGGCGGTCAAAGACCAGCGCCGGCTGGTCGCGCAGCCCCGAGTGCTGGAACTCGTTTGTGATCCAGAGCGAGGCGCGGTCGCCGAGCAGCGCGCCCGTCGCCTCCGAGAAAGCGCGCTCCACGTAGATGTCCTCGAACGAGACGAGCGCCGCCACCTTTGCGCCCCCGCGGCCGAGCGCCACTGCGTCGTAGAGCGGCCCCCAGTCCTCCTTGGCGGCGAGCAGCTCCGCGGCCGGCTTCAGCGGCCGCAGCCAGGCGTAGTCGTCGCCCATCCACGAGTAGACCATCTCGCCCGTCAGCTGCACGGGCGGCGAGCCGGGCTCGAGCCGCGTGGTGTAGTCCCACCCCTCGCCGAGCGACGCCTGCACCCGCTCCGCCGCCCAGCCGCTCGGCCCGCCCAGCCGGCCGCACTCGCCGCCGCCGCCGCCGCCGCCCCCGTCGCAGTAGATTGCCTCGTGCAGCAGCCAGTAGATCGGGTTCGTCTCGAAGTGCTGCTGCGCCGCCTCCACCTCGAGCAAAAAGAGGTCGGGCAAGGAAGAGGTCGCCTACAAGAGGAGGCTGCGAGAAGGCTCCAGGAGGGGCCCTACACGCCCGAGCAGCGGTCAGCTGGGCTCGCGTCGGGCAGCCCGTCGGCGGAGGGAGGCCGCGCCAGCTCGAGCAGGTCGTGCAGCGCCTCGAAGCCGGAGGCGGAGCCGAGCAGCAGGCCGAGCTGCAGGAAGCGGCGCGCCGTGAGCGTCCCGCCGCGCGGGAGGGGAGCGGGCGCGGCGTGCAGCCCGGCGACGAGCGAGCGGACCTAGACACTTCCTAGACACTTCCTAGACACTTCCTAGCGTGCAGCCCGGCGACGAGCGAGCGGACCAGCTCGACGTCCTGCGGGTAGCGCTGGTAGAAGCGCCGGTTCCGCTCCTGGCGGCAGGGGCGAGGCGAGGGCCGTGACCCGAGAGGGAGCGAGGCCGCCGGCCTCGGGGGTCGGCCTCATATCCATATTATATTTAGCCTCGCTACTCCCCATGTCTCCCCATATCTCCCCATATCTCGCCTCGGGGGTCGCCTCGCCGCACCTCCATCCGCTTGTACGTCGCCGCGTACACCTCGTCGGCAGTCCGGCCGACGGGCGCGAGCCCAAAGGTGAAGAGGGCGCGCTCGATCGCGTCGGGGAAGAGGGAGAGGTAGGTGAGGATGCAGAAGCCGCCAAAGGACTGGCCGAGCAGGCTGAGCTTCTTGCCGCCGCAGAGGGCCTCACGCACAACCTCGCAGTCGCGGACGATGGAGTCGGCCCGAAAGTGCTCGAGGTAGCCGGCCTGCGCCTGCGGGCCGCCCGGCAGCGCGAGCAGCTGCTTGGCGGTCACGGGCGTCGACCGGCCGGTCCCGCGCTGGTCGAGGAGGAGGACGCGGTGCGTTGCGAGAGCCGACTTGTCCCAGCCAGAGGCGGGGAAGGCTGGCCGCTTGGACGGGAAGCCCGGCCCGCCCTGGAGGTAGAGCAGGCACGGAAGGTCGTCGGCTGCCTTGGACGCGGCGACGAGCTCGCGCACGAAAAGCGAGAGCGAGCCGCCGTCAGGCTTGCTGTGGTCGAGAGGAACGGAGAGGAAGTGCTCGGTCACCTTGACGTCGCCAGGAAGCGTGGTGGCCGACATGGTGGTGAGCAGGCGGGCGACCGTTGGGCGGGCAAGCAGCGAGGACGAGCGCATGTCGGTGGTGGGCGCCGAGCTGGAGCGACCGGCGAGCGTCACCAGGTGGGCGGCGCTGGGCGGCGCTCAGAAAAGAATTTTAAAATCCTCGCACAACCTGGGCACGGGACTGGCGCGCACTGGCACTAACACAGGTACACCAGAAAAGAAGAATCCACTCCCTACGCGGGCCCGAAATCGCACAGACTCACACTGCGCGGTAATAATCAGGGTTACAGGGAGGGGCATTGATTGTGTCGCCTATCAACAAGAACTAATCCACATCCTCTGCGTGGGCCCGTGGGGTCCGTGGAAAGAGAGGGCAGACCGCGTTTGTTTTGTGGCGGTGGCGGCGGCGGTCGGTCGCGCAGCACATCCACATCCGTGCCCGACTCCGCTAGTCCTTCAGGATCTGACGAATGGAGACGCTGTGGGCGCAAGAGACGCTGAAGGGCCTCGCTGTGAACCTTAGAGACCACAGAACCCTCCTTTTCGCTCATCGCAGACACGCTGGACTATGAGCAACCCAGTGCGCACTCTCCTCATCGTGCTCGCCCTCGCGAGCGCGGCCCCGGTGCCGGCGCCCGAGGAGAAGGCGCTCGGCGACGGCGCCATCTTCAAGGCCGGCGTCCTCGCCGTCGCCGGCGACAAGGCGGACGCCGCGTCGATCCTTGCGGACAAGAAGGACGAGGTCAAGCAGGGCCTCAGAGAGGGCATCGAGGAGTACCACGACTACCAGGACTTCAAGGAGCAGCGCCGCGAGCAGGAGCAGGTCCGGCAGCCGGAGCGGCCGTACGGCGCTGAGGCTGCCAACCTCGACCAGCAGCGCCTCGCGCCGGAGGAAAAGGAGCTGGGCGACGGCAAGATCCTCGGCGCTGCCATGCTCGGCATGATGGGCGACCGGCAGGGCGCGGCGCACATCCTCCACCACAAGGCCGAGGAGGTGGCGGACGCCATGTCGGGCGACGACCGCACGCCCGGCCGCTGGGACGATGGCCGGCGCCGCCCTGATGGGTACGGCCCGGACTGGCACCCCGCGCCGCCGGGGTGGCGCCCGCCGCCCCGCTACCACGGCCCGCCTGGCCGATGGCACCAGGACTCTGCCCACTGGCACGGCGGCCGCTGGGACTACAGCTATGCATGAGGGGACAGGCGCGGCCTAGAGGAGAGGCTCCGTAGCTGCGCGACCGTGGGTGGGCGAGGACACGTGGGATGGATGGAGGGACGGAGCGAGAGAAGGAGGAATGATTGAGATGGTAGCTTTTATAGTGACAGCGTGTACACCATGACTCCGTGTCTATTCTTGTCTATGGCCATGTAGAAGGCTCTTTTACCCATCACCCATCAATGGGGGCCCCTCGCGTGATCTCGAGATCGGGGGCGATGGCTCGGATGGCTCGATCAACTCGGGCGTCCGTCCCGCCGCAACTCGGGGGGTTCATTGCTGATGTTCACCACGAGCGACCGCGCCCTGGTGCAGCTCTCCATCCAACGAGGGCTGGATTGGTCAGCCGAGCGCGCGCAGGTGCAGGAGCTCCTTCAGCTCCTGCGGGAACGAGGCGATGCCATTGAGGCACGCACCGTCGAGGCAGTCGCGGCGGCGCACGCGGCTCATTTGCGTGTGGCCCGGGCAGAAACACTGGCTGAGGGGCTGCGTGAAGCGAACGCGAGGCTCGACGCGGAGAACTCTCAACTTGAAGCTGCGTGGAAGGCAAACTCGGCCCAGGCGGTCCGGAAAGCGGCTGTTGAGGCCATTGCAGCGGAGTCGTCTCTCAAGGTTGTGAGGCATGAGGCGGTGTTGACGACTCAAATCATCAGGCAGGTGACGCAGGAGGCCGCGGCAGCAGTTGACGAGGCCCTACTAGAGGGCAAGGCCGTTTTGGAGGCAGAGCGGCGACGAAAGCAGGCCCACAGGGCCGTCGCACGGGAGGCGGCTCGCATCGGCGCCATCTTGCTGGCGGAGGAGGCGGCGGCGCGTCTGGAGGCGGAGACGACTGCGGATGTGACACTCATGGCGGCGGAGGAGGCGGCGACGATCGGGGCGGTTCGCTCGGTGGCCACTGCCACCGCCGCTTCGCTGGCTGCCGCCTACAGGGGCGTCTACGAGGCGGCTGGGGCTGAGGCGGCTCGCGTGGCGGCAGGGAGAGCGGCCTCGGTCGAGGAGGACGCGGCTCGCAAGACGGTCTACAAGGAGGCAGCGGCGGAGGCGGCTCTGCAGGCAACGGAGAGGGCGGCCGTGGCTCACATTATCAGGGAGCTGCGCCGCCGCCGGCGTTTGGTCGCGCCTGGCAAGGCTGCTTCAGCACGCCCGGTGGCGCAGGCGGCAGAGGCGGTAGCGGCGACGTCCCCCTATCGGGCGGAGTCGCACCTGATCGACATAGGGCCGTCGGGGGTCGAGTGGGCACGCAACCTCTTGGCAAATGAGGATGAACGCCGCCTCCTTTGCGCGATGGAGTTTGGCGCGGACGATCTCAACGGCAACGGGACGCTCGACCCGGAGGAGGCCTGGCTCTGCGTGACGAGAGTCTGTGACCGTGTGGGGCTCGAGCTGCCGCGATTGGAGCGGTGCGAGGAGCTCTTCGCGCGGTGCGATAAGAACAAGGACGGCGCCATTCAGCTGGACGAGTTCCAGCCCTTCTTCCGGACGCTGCTCGCGAGCGCCGTCAACAAGGCGGAGCGGGACGAGACGAAGGCAGCGGAGCTGGCGCGGCTCGAGGGGGAGATTGCAGCGGAGCAGGAGGCGGCATTCCAAGCTGCGGAGGCTGAAGCAGCGGAGCAGGCGAAGGCGGCCTGGGAGGCGTCACGCCGAATGGCCCAGCTCGAGGCCAAGGCGGTGGCGGCGCGCAAGGCGGCGGAGAAGGCGGCGTTGGCCGAGGCTGCGCTCAAGGCTCTACACGAGGAGGAGAGCGACGAGATCGACTCCGACACGGAGGCGATGGAGGCCGCGCTCAGCGAGCGGTTGACTGAGCAAGATCTGTCGCACCTGCAGCCGGCTGACCCGCCACCGATGCAAAAGAAGCTGACGATCGACGTTCCGGCGGGGGCGGCCGCGCCGCCGCTGCTGCGCCAACGGTCAAACCCCGTCTCGACGCTCAACGATGCGCTCAGCACGCGGCTGACAGAGTCACTCAACAAGGTGCTCGCCTACTTGCCCGCCACTCCGCTGCAGCACATGGCACGGGAGCTCCGCTGCTACCGGGGCCCGAGCAGTGCCAAGGCGGGGGCTTTGGCCTCCCGCCCTTCGCTGAGCCCGCGGCTGGAGGAGTACCTAGATAAGCACCTGATCCTCGCCGCGCTGCAAGAGATCGCCGCGGAGCTGCAGACCACAGTGGAGCGCGACAGGCTCAGCATGGACTCCCGCGCCGTCCAGACGCTCCTCGACAGAGTTCCAGCGATGCTCGACGACGCCGCCCGGCGTGCCGAGTTCTACAGGCGCTTCCGCATGCACTCTGCCAGCGAGGCGCTGCCGCTCAGGCCACTGCCGCTGCTGCCGCTGCCCATGTGACAGCACCGCAACAACAACACTACGTGTACGTGTACGTGCGCACTCGTGCACTCACTTTACGTGTTGGAGGGGAGATTGATGGAGTCATGTTCATGTGAGGGGTTTTGATTTCGCACACAAGTGAGATGACACACGTCTCTAATGTGCAGCGCCTTGCGAGGGCCTTCGCGTCTCGTCCACACTATCGAGCTCCCTTGCTTCTCTCGAAACGCAGAGTGCTGTTCCTCTCGAGCTCTTGGCTCAGCGCCACGCCTTTCCGATTTTGGACCTGCACAGACCAGGCGTAAGTGGCTCACTGAGTTCCAGAACCAAAAGTTTGCGGACCACTTGACGCCTTTCTTGACGTCGCAGCCGGTGTGCAAGCTCGTCTGATCGAATTCGCCGTTTGGGAGCATAGAGTAAAAGAGGAGCACGGCCAGGCGCTGTGGCTTGACGGCGAGGCCTCGGCTGCAGTCCAGAAAATCGCGCGGCTGTGGCAGCTTGCCAGCCCGCGGAAAGCCCGTCTCACCCCCCTCCTCGGGCTCGGACAGGTAGAAGAAGACGGTCAGCAGGCGGTTGCTCGCGTACCCCGATTCTCGGTCGCGGCCAGAGTACTCGCCGGGGTCGAAGAAGTCGTGGTGCGCGGTGTAGTGCTCGTTGGGTAGGTAGCGCAGCACCTGGATCTGCTCGGCGTGCGTCATCGGGATGCGGGTCAGCTGCTGCACGCGCCGGTCCAGCGGGAGGATCGCCTCATCCCAGAGCGGGTAGGACCACTGCGAGCTGGTGCGGTAGTCGGAGGAGCTTTTGCCGCGGTCGGCCTCCTTGAGCGAGACGCCGCTCTTGTGCATGTGACCGTCCGCACGCGACACGATGAGCTCCGCCTCTGCGGGCGTCAGAAAGTCCTCGGCGAGGAGCACGCGTGGCCAGAGCGAGAGCGTGGAGAGGCGCACACGCCGGTCTGCAGCGCCGTCCCCAACCGTCAGGTTTAGCTCGTGACCAACCTCGACAGCCGGCCATACCCACATGCCGCCCTCGAAGAGGAGGACGCAGGACGCCGCGAGGACATCTTCCGCGCTGCGGAGCCTCACTCCCAGCGGAGTGAAGAAGGCTGGCGGTTGGTGTAGCGAGCCGCGAGCGGGAGAGGCGAGCCGCCGCATCACGAGCGTCGCGAGGCTCTCCACCGACCCGCTCGCTTGGCCAGGCACTGCAATCGAGTGGCTCGGAGGCGGCCGCCGCTCGCGAGCCGCGCCGCCGGTCCAGCCGTCGGCAAACACGTCGAACCTTGCACGTGCACCCTCGGGCGCGTCTGAGACGGAGGGGCAGATGACGTGCATGCCGGGCGAGGGCTCCGAGGAGCTCAGGTGCGCCCACGGCGAGCAGGCTAGTAGGTCGGTCGCGGACGGTGCCGCCACGTCGTGCGCCACGCTCTCTGCTGCCGCGGCCAGCTCAATTTCATCAAGGCAGTGAGGGACCGCGTAGTGCTGACGCGCCTCTGACCCGACCTCGATCTCCGCCGCAAGCTCTCCCGTCTTTGTCCGAAGCCGCCACCTGTCGCCGGCGCGGGTGCCGATGGAAAACTCGCCAAGGGCATCGATGGCCCAGTAGCGTCGCTCGCTTGCGCCGTCAAAGTACAGGAGCTCCAGGTTGCCTCCGCGCTCATTGGCCACGGTCATTGAGACCCCGCCTTGGCGCGCCGGGCCAGCGTGGCCGCCGAGCTTGACCGGGCAGCGCTCGACACCGAGCGACGGGGCGTCGGCACTCGCGTCGTGCGTCGCCCGGTGCCCGCTCGCCCGGTCCGAGGTGGTGAGCCGGCCAAAGGCGATCGCGGACGGTGTCAACATGGCAAGGGCAAGGGCAAGGAGGCACTGCCGCATATGGCAGGCGAGGTACCCAGGTCGTCAAAGGCGATCGCGGAGACTGTCAAGATGGCCGAGGAGCCGCAGAGGGCAGATGGTGGCCGAGGGGGCAGCAGTAAAGGCCGCGCGCACTGGTTGGGGACGCACGGAAAACTTCGGCGGTGTGAAGAGGTCCGCCTCTCGCGCCCAAACCTTGTTTCTTATCAACCTATCTGTGAACGATTACGAAGGAGAGGGGAACGAGCAGGGAACGAGAGATGACACGCAGCATATCGCAATCTCCCTCAGGCAACCTCCGAGGTCGAGGCCGAGTATAGACAGCGAGCGCTGTGGCACTGAGGTGCTCCCAAACCGCACGCCGCCGCCCCTAATCCACCAAAAGTCGATCTCTCGCCCCTCTTGCGGCAGGCCAAGCGCTCTGTCCGCGAGCGTGGAGCGCTGGATCCACCCGCCACCAGGCTCTCGATGTTTGGCGCACGCTCTTCAAACACCTATTTGGAAGCACGCACGGAGCCGCCGGTGCTCACATTTCTCCAGCATGAGCGCGGTAGCACGTGCATAAACCTCTCGAGCGCGGGGCAGCACCAAAAGTATGCAAAGGCCGTGTCTCAAGCACGCTCGGCCGTCAACGCCCACAGCTCGACTTTCTCTCCGGGCACATTTGCTGAGGTCAACGCCGTGCGTCGCCGCTGCGACAAGATGCTCGTCAGCGTGGGTAACGAGCTCGCTCTCGCCCTCGGCCAGCTCGACGCCTCCGAGCCCACGGAAGCCGCCCTCGCCGCGCTCGAGCGGGCGTCGTGCTCTGCGGCGGAGGCCTTCTACAGGGCCTTCGGCGAGTACAACTCGGTGGTCAAGCAGGCGCTCGAGGAGTGCCACGCCTCCTCGTCGGCCTCGATGAGCCCCGACTGGCAGGCCATGCGCTGCTTCGACCTGCTCAAGAACTGCCTCGGCGAGATGCGGGCCTGGCTGTGCGGCGCCCTCGCACTGCCCAGAGCGGGGCTGGAGGGGCTCCCCGCGCGCGCCACCACCGACCTGCTCATCTGCTTGCGCGAGCAGCGGGCGCGGACAGAGGAGCTGCGAGCCCTCGCCCCGCCCCGCATGCTCGCGCTCCTCGGCGCCGCCGTCGAGATGGACCCGGAGCTGCGCTCGCTGCTCGCAAAGCTCGAGGAGTCGCTCGACGTGTGCACCGTCCGCAAGGCGGGCCTCATCCCGCCGCGCCTGTGGCGGCTCATCACGTCGCACATCGCAAAGATCGAGCAGCTGCAGGTCATGCTGCACAACTACGCCTCCTCGCCCAGCTCGCCGCGCAGCTCGCCGCCGCACTCCTGGCAGGGCTCGCCGCCGACGCCCCCCCGCCGGGCTCACGCCTCGTCACCGCCAGCTGCCTGCCAGACGACCCCGACCACCCAAGGCGCGGGCGGCACCGCGGCGCTGTCGCAGGAGGATGTCGCGGGCGCCGCCCTGGCCCTCCTCGGGGGCGTGCGTGGAGATGGCTTGCTGCAGGAGGACCTGCACGCGCTCTCGGGCGACCAGATCAAGCAGCTCCTCCTGCTGCGGCTCGGCGACTCGGAGGGTGCGCGGGCGTGCTCGCCCTCGGGGCGCCCCCAGGCTCCCGAGCTCGCGAACGCACCCGCGCTGGTGACGGCGGGCGACGCCGCGGGCGCGTGCGGAGGCTCCCTTTCGAGCTCCGAGCCGCAGGTGACTCGCGCCGACCTCGACGACCTCGTCTTCCGCGGCCGGCTGGGGAGCGGCTTGGGCGGCTCCACCTACCTCGCCGAGTGGCGCGGGGAGGTGGTGGCGGCCAAGGTTTTCAGCGGGCGGGGGGACGCCTTCGCGAGCTGGAACGTCGAGGTCGGCATGCTGGCGGGGCTTTCGCAGCCAGGCCACCCCAACGTGGTCCGGCTCCTCGGCGCGGTGGAGGAGAGGCTCACGCGCTGCGTCATCCTCGAGTACTGCGACGGCGGCGACCTGCAGCAGGCGCTGCAGCGGCCGACGCCGCGCCGCTTCTTCTTCCGCGTCGCATCGGGCGTCGCCGCCGGCCTCACCTTCCTGCACGCCAACGGAGTGATGCACCGCGACCTCAAGTCGCCAAACGTGCTGCTGCACGGCGAGCACGGCGTCAAGATCGCCGACTTCGGCCTCGCCGCCGGCGTGCAGCCGACGGGCTTGACCCGCACGCACTGCTTGGGGCGCGAGGTGCTCACGCCAGAGACAGGCGCGCGCAAAGGCACGAGTGGGCGCTTCCCGCAACGGTACGCACATCCACCCCCCCGTCCCCAATCCTGCACTTGCAGGCACCTACCGCTGGATGGCGCCCGAGATCGTGATGCACGAGACCTACTCCAAGAGCGCGGACGTCTTTTCGTACGCCATGATCCTCTTCGAGCTCATCACACACACCGTCCCCTTCTCCGACCGCTCGGCGCTGCAGGCCGCCGTCTCCATCGGCCTGCAGGGAAAGCGGCCCCGCCTCCCCGCTGGCACGCCCACGCTGCTGCGCGACCTCGTCGAGAGCTGCTGGGCCGAGGACATCGCCAGCCGCCCGCGCGCGCTGCACCTCGAGTCGCAGGTGGCTTTGCTCGAGTCGACCCTCTCCCCCTCCGACCGCGAGTGGCTCGAGTGCCCGCTCGGCAATCCGGTCCTCAAGGAGGAGCCGCCGCCGCCCAACGACAACAGCGGAGCGCCGCTCGCCGTGGCGGAGCGGCGCCGGCGGCGCTCGCACCAGTTCGGAGTGTGCTCGGGCGGCATCATGGCCAGCAACCAGGGCCGTGAAGCGCCTCCGCCGCCGCTGCTGCTGAAGCCGCCGCCACGCCCGCTGGCGCAGCCGCCGCCGCCGCCGCCGCCGCCGCCGCAACCGTCGCCTAGGCGCCACCGGCTTCCCGCACTGCCGTGTATAGCAGCTTCGCCCCCCTCGTCGACCGATACGATCCCGTCTTCGCTGTCGAGCCAGGAGGAGATGGTTACGCTCACGGCGGAGCTGGGGGCTCTCCGGGAGGTTGCCCTGGCCAGCAGCAGCACGTAGGAGCGAGGCGTCAGAGGCGAGCACGCTGGGGCTCCGGCGCTGGATTCCTTGGAGGCGGCGCTGGCTCCTCCCCCCCGCCCCCCCTCCCCTCGAGCGCCGTGGCGTTTGCCACTCTGTTGCCACACAAATCCGGGCAGCTCTAGGCCCCGGTTGATTCTCCCCCTTGCCCGGCCCGGGTCTCGGGTCGGTCGGTTGAACCGAGCTCTCTCGATGCCCACTGTACACTTGCTTGCGCATGAATTCTTTTAAAAATCCGTCTTGTCCTTTCGCCTGTGGAAACGACCAGGGCTCCCTTGAACTCCCACTCGATACCTCCCTAGTCTCAGCCCACTCTGAGCTACTATTTGCGGCGCTATTGGGTGGAGACTCTCGAGCCGCGGTGCAGTTTGCTTCTTTGCTTCCCGCAAGCCACAGAGGCCCCACCCGAGAACAAAGGAGGAGTCAGAGGGATGGCGGTGGGTGGAACAGAAACCAGAGGGCTGCAGGCCCACAAGCAGAGGAGCCAGCAGGGTCCTCGTGGCAGGAAGGCGCGCGGGCGAAGGTCGGAGTTTCCGAGAGGCCGCGGGCCCCCACGCCTAGGCTAGGCATTCTCGCGGCTGGTTCACCCCTAGCCATGAACTCCCACTCGATACCTCCCTAGTCTCAGCCACGAGGACTATTTGCGCTATTGGGGTGGAGACTCTCGAGCTCGCGGTGCAGTTTGCTTCCCATCACGAGGCGAAGCCGAGTGCGCCGCGACGAGGGTCTCTGCCGGCACCCTTTGGGTCCCCTCTAGTCGCGAAGCGGCTGTGCCGAGGGGCCCTCGCGCGCAACTGTGTCGCCCTTCGGACCTGTACCTGTCCTGTCTTGTCCGGTCTCTTTTTTGTCCTGGCGGGAAACAGCCCAGCGCGGCGCGGTTGCCTGCTCCTTCTGCCACACCGACCCTCGCGCATGTCGGCTTCCTCCTCCGCCTCAACCACCGACAAGCGGCCTTGGCTCTAGGCCCCGGTTCGCGGTTGATTCTCCCCCTTGGCCTTGCCCGGCCCGGGTCTCGGGTCGGTCGGTTGAACCGAGCTCTCTCGGTACCCACTGTACACTCGCTTGCGCATGAATTCTCCTTGCAAAATTCGTGCTTGCGCATGAATTCTCCCTGTAAAATTCGTGGTGTACCTGTGTTGGTGCCAGTGCGAGCCAGTCCCGTGCCCAGTGTTGTGCGAGGGACCTGGAGCACTTGGAGCACTTGGAGTGCAGTCATTAGCCTCACATCCAGGGCCGGGGAGCTGAGGAGCGCACCCAGCGGGCCGGATGATCGGCATCGGGTTGCGGGCAAGAAAGCCCTAGCCCCGGGGGTGCGCGTTCGCAGGGAAAGGGCCGTAAAGTAAACACGGGTCTCCGAGGGTTGGCCCCGCGTACCGGGTTTCCCCTTAGGACGCCCCCTGGCTTGCAAAATTCTTTGGGAAAAGGAAATTCTTTTCCCTCGGTGTACGAAGGTGGAGTGCCAGCGCGCCGACTGTGTTAGTGCCAGTGCGCGCCAGTCCCGTGTCGGCGCTTTCATACGTCATCCTGCAGCTGGGCAGCGAGCAGCGCCTCCCCGCCTGCCGAGCAGCGCCTCTAAGGCTACAGCAGCCTCGGGATTGCTGCCAGCTGCGATGCGCCGACCACTCGCGATGGCGGCCGTCTGCGCCCTGGCGCTTCCGCTGCTCGCTCTGCCTGGGCCAGCCGGGACGCAGAGCGCAGCTGTCGGCAGGACGGCCTGGTCGATTGCGGTGATGGGTGGGTTCTGGGCGTTTGAGCTGCTTCCGATCGCGGTGACGGCGCTGCTGCCGCTCTTCCTCTTCCCGCTCCTCGGCATAATGCCCGCGCAGGCGGTCTCGCAGTCCTACTTTCAGGACAAGAACGTGCTCTTCTTTGGCGGTCTCGTCGTCGCCGCCGCGCTGGAGTGCGTGCGGGCGCACGAGCGGATCGCGCTCACCACGCTGCTGCTCTTTGGGACGCGGCCGCGGCAGCTGCTACTCGGCTTCATGGCCGCGACCGCCTTCCTGTCGATGTGGATGAACAACACGGCCACCACCGCGATGATGATGCCGATCGCGGAGGCGGTGCTGTCCTCGCTCGAGGAGACGGCCGGCGCGTGCGAGGGCAGCGGCCGCGCCTCGGGCCGGCGGGCGCTGCGAGAGTCGCTCGGCAAGGCGCTGATGCTCGGCGTGGCATGGTCGGCAAACATCGGCGGGATGGGCACGCTGACGGGCACGGGCCCGAACATCGTGCTCGCCGGCGGCTTCGCCACCATGTTTCCAGAGGCGCCCGCTCTCTCCTTTGCGGCTTGGCTCGCCTTCGCCACGCGCCTGGCTCGCTCCTCGTCACGAGCAGTGAGTGGCTCGCTAGTCGTGAGTAGGCTCGCCTTTGCCACGCCGGTGGCCGCAGTCTGCCTGCTGGTGGCGTGGGCCCTCCTCTCCGTCCGCCACCTGCCCTCCTCCGACGCCGGGTACAATGCCAAGGCAACGTACGCCCTCCTCGTCGAGAAGCGGCGCAGCCTCGGCCCGCTCTCGTGGAGGGAGGCGGCCGTCCTCTTCCTAGACACTTCCCAGACACCTCCTAGACACTTCCTAGGCCCGCTCTCGTGGAGGGAGGCGGCCGTCCTCTCCGACTTCAGCCTGCTCGCCCTGCTCTGGGTCACGCGCCAGCCGGGCTTCGTGCCCGGCTGGGGCAGCTGGTTCGACGGCTACGCCACCGACGGCACCACCGCGGCCCTCATGGCGACGCTGCTCTTCGCGCTGCCCGCCTCGCCGCCCAGCACTTCGGCCTGCTGCAAGGGCCTCGCGAGCCGCATGCCCGCCGCCGGCCGCCGCCGCGCCAGGCTTGCCGAGTTCGCTTCGACGACGGAGCTCGAGCCTCGGCCGCCCTCCGACGAGTTGCCGACCCCCTCCCCTCCCCCCGCATACGTCCCCCCTGTCGCCGCGCCGAGCGCAGCCGCCGGGGTGCAGGTGGTGGCGGGGGCGGGGCAGGCGGGGGCGGGGCAGGCGGGGGCGGGGCAGGCGGGGGATGGCGCCGAGCTCGAGGCGGGGTCGGCGAGGGCGGGGCCAGTCGAGGCGGGGTCGCTCGTCAGCTGGCCGGAGATCGAGGCGCGAGTGCCTTGGGGCGTGCTGCTGCTGCTCGGGGGAGGCTTCGCCCTCGCCGACGCCTGCCGCGTCTCCGGCCTCTCGGACCTGCTCAGCGAGCACCTCGACCCGCTCGCGTCGCTGCCCCCGCCGCTCGTCGTCCTCGCCCTCATGGCGCTCGCCTCGCTCGCGACCGCCTTCGCCTCCAACGTCGCCACCGCCTCCATCCTCCTCCCCGTCGTCGGCGCGCTCGCCGTGTCTCAGGTCTCTCTCCCTCCCGACCGATGCGTCCTCGGCACAAGGGCAGCCGGCGCCCCATCTCACCAATCGCCTCCTCCGCCCCTCTTCCCCAGGGATGCCACCCGCTCCTTTACATGGCGCCGGTGGTGCTCGCCGTCTCGCTCGCCTTCTCTCTGCCCGTCTCGACCCCGCCCAACGCGCTCGCCTTCGCCTCGGGCCGCCTCTCCGTGCGCGACATGGCGCCGCTCGGTGCGCTCCTCAACGTGGCCTGCTGCGCCGTCGTCTTCCTCTTCCTCTTCACCACGGGAGAGGTCATCTTCGGGCTCGGCTCGCAGCCCGCTTGGGCCGCCGGAATACGCGAGCCGCCTCCGCACGCGCCGCCGCCGCCGCACAACGCAAGTCACAACGCCTCGGCCGGGTGAGTTGGTCCGGACGTCGTGATTTTTACGTACTACGGCGCTAAGAGCGCGAGAACAACCGGCATAGGCGAAAACCTCGTCGAAGTACGAAAAGTCAAAAGAAGTAGCCCCCGGTCGAACACCCCCCCCCAAACAAATAAATTCCCCCTTCGAGCTGAGAGGATTTGGGATTTCAGTCCCGCGCAAATTCGTCATCAACGATGGGGCCAACGGCCGAAAAGCGCCGGTAAGCAAGGACGATGGAGGTGCGTCTTTCCCATGCTCGCGCGCCCCCCGAGCGCGAACTATGCACGGGCCCGGCTCGCCCGCTTGGGGATCCACCCGGCACACCCCCGCCCCCCACCTGCCGGCTTACCTGCCGTCAGTTCGCGCCGGATGGCCCACAACTGTCAGCAACACAAATCCACCAGTTTTGGGGCTGCCTTCAGCCTCGCCTCACAGCCGACGTTCTGGTCGCACGCGGGTTCTTAAGGGTCGCACATGCCGGCCATGACGTCTGCCAACCGGCCGTTCGCAGGCGGTAGCTTCGCACGCCCCCGACAACTCCGAGAATGACCCGCACGAGAAGTGCGCGTCGGCGGCGCACTTTTCCTCCCAGGCTGTGGCTGCTGCCTTGGCCTCAGTGGCGACCCAGGAGGAGCCGAGCGCCGTGGCGCTGGCCGTGGCTTGCCCCGTGGGCGGCCTCACCCTCTCGCACGTCGCCTACCTCCTCAATTTGGCCACTAAGATGGCGAAGGCGACGGACGGGCTCTCTCACAACAAGGCCTTGATCTTTGCCCGCTGGGTGGCCACCTGCGCGGCGGCGAGCGCGAGCGGGCCGGTGTCCTTGCCCATGTGCGCCAGCCCCGCGGTGAGGTCGCTCTGGCAGGCATGCGAGCGCCACGTCAAGGACTACAACAAGCGCCGCGAGTTGGTGCGCTCGCGCCTCCGCATGGCGCGCCAGCGCGGCGGCAACACCCAGGCCGAGGCCGAGCGGGCGATGCGCGCGCTCGAGATCGAGTCGGCGACGCGCTTCGTCTTCCCCAAGATCACCTCGACCGCGGCCGACGCGGGCGGCGGCGGCGGCGGCGGCGGCGCCGCCGCAGCAGCAGAGATCCCCGCCGACCTCAAGCTCCTCGCGTTCGCGATGGGGACGCACGAGCGGCTCGGCGCCTCGAGCGCCGTGCGTCTCCTCGACATGGACGCGCTCGGGCTCATCGCCGCGGCGGTGCGCGGGAGGCGCCCGCCGCCGCCGTCGGAGGTCGTCAAGCTGCGGCGGCTCGCGGCGCGGCAGCAGCGCGAGATCGACTACCAACGCAGCCTCCTCTCGCGCGCCGTCACGGACCTCGGCCACCGCGACCGCCGCCGAGCGCGAGCGAACGATGTTTGCGCGCGTGAAGCGGCGCGCCGACCGCGGCGGCATCGCGCGGCACGACACGCGGATGGGCGCGGTGCTCGCCGAGCGCGACGGGACCGTCGAATGGCTGCGCGACAAGCCGGCGGGCGAGAAGATTTGGCGGCTGGCGGCGCGGCGCTGGCGCAAGGGGTCGGGGTCGCGCACCATGCAGCAGGAGCGCGAGATCAAGGGCGCCTTGAAGGCGCCCGAACGCGAGGCGAAGCTGGAGAAGAAGCGCGGCGGGAGAAAGAAGAAGGCGGAGGAGCTGGAGCGGCTCAAGGCGTGCCGCCCCGCCCCGCGCCGCAGCCCTCTCGCGCCTGCTCACCGCACCGCGTGCGTTCGTAGGGCATCTCGCTCGCGCGCAAGTACTCGGAGCTCAAGAAGATGGGCAACGAGAGGCTGGCCGAGCAGCTCAAGTTCTACAAGCTGATTGAGAAGAAGACCGGCTTCAAGACGACAGGCGCCGCCGCTTGGGTTGCTCCGTAGTAGTAGTTGAGATTGTCACCGGCGCTCTGTCCTGGTAGGCACGGGGCCGGAGATGCGGACGCAGCTGCAGTCGCTGATCTTCGAAAAGTTCGGGCTCGGCTGCAATGACCTCGCGGAGGGTGACGCGGGGACCGACGGGCGCGAGTCGGACGGGCTGCGCCGCAAGGGGTGCCGCGAGACGGTCGTCGGCGGCGGGGCCAAGAAGAAGAAGGCGAAGCGGAAGCGCGGCTGGGTCTACCTCAACGACTGGGGGTGGGACCCGACGGACGGCTGATTGGCAAGATGGTTGCCGACGGCGGGGACGTGCCGGGGCGGGAGGGGGAGGAGATCGCGGCGGGGACGGTGCTCTACAAGGTGCTGTGGGAGGGCTGGCCCCCGGAGATCGCGACGTGGGAGGAGGAGGACCAGGTGCCGTGCGGGGAGGTCGACTTTGTCGCTGACTACGAGGCGGCGCTCGAGGCGGAGGAGGAGGACGATGACGAGGAGGGCGAGGAGGGCGAGGGCGAGGACGCTATGGAGGCCTAGGCGCGGAGGATGCCGCTGTGTGCGCTGAGACACGCTCGTACGTGTGTGCTGGAGCCGGTCTGTTGGGTGTGAATGTGAACACTGACCCTCACCTAGGTATGTAGTAAGGGTTGGTCAACCATGTGGGTGTCTATGTGTTTCTCTCGGGCATTAGATTCTTATTTCATCGTCAAAATGCCCCCATATTCACTTCCCAAAATCGCGACCCGGGGTGTTCGACCGGGCTAAAAGAAGAAACGCCCGGGCTAACAATATACAATAATGGGGTAGACGTCAGCTCTCCGGCGGCGCATGTGTCTCTCCCGCTGCAGGGAGGAGTCCTCGAATCGTGACTCGTCTCCGCCGCTTGGGCTGCACCAGCTCGAGCAGCCCGGCGGGCGGGTCGATGAGCACGAGCCCGGCGTCGGTGTCGACGGCCGGCACGATCTCCTCGACGTACGGCACGAGGACCGTGTCCGCGTCGTCGGGGAGCTGGTCGAGCCGCTCCGGGGGGGCGTCGCCGCCGTCGGGCGACGGCGGGAAGAGCGTCACCTCGAGGAGGTCGTGGCCCACGCCCGCGGAGCTCAGCTCGAGCGCCGGCACCACGCCAGACACGAGCCCGACTGGCTCGCCCGCTAGCTCGGCCAGCGACGCCGCGTCGGGCGGCGCGTCGCGGTCTAGGCAGACGACGCGGAGCCCCTCGAGCTGCCACGAGAGCAGCTCTCCCTCCTCGAGCCCCTCCGGCTCCTGCTCGCGCCGCACGTACAGCGTCGACCCCTTGAGCGCCGCCGCCTCCTCCCGCGCCTCGACGCCTGCGATCCGCAGCAGAAACGCGCCCGCGCCGGGGCCGCGCCGGCCAGAGAGGAGGCGCACCTGCCGCGGCGCCCGGCGGCGCGGCCGGCGCAGCCAGCCCACGCCCGGGCGGCACAGCCGCTCCTCCGCAAAGTCGGAGTCGGAGAGCACCCGGACCACGCCTTGCGTGCCGTGCGCCCCGACGATGCGGCCAACCTCGCTGAAGCCAAACGTGGACGGGTCGCGTTGGTCGACCTGCGCCGCGTCGGGGTAGAGCCAGACGCCGCGCTCCCGGGGCAGCTCCGCCGCCGCTGCCGCCGCCGCCGCCGCCTCGGCGCCGCCGCTCCTCTGCTCTGGCGGCGCAACCCTGCTAAAGCGCAGAGTCTCGGCGACCCGCTCCGCCTTGCTGAAGTGCGCGTACTTGTTGCGCTTTGCCCGGGCCGGCTTGGCGGGCGGCGGGTCGGGAGAGAGAGCGCTGAGGAGGGAGAGGGCAATGAGCATCCGTCGAGCGAGCGAGCAGCGGCCGGGGCGCGGCGCACCCCGGAGCACAGAGAGAAAAGGAAAACGTATCTAGCTAGGGGTCAGGGCTCTCTAGCCCGTAGCCCGATCCCGATCATCCGGCCCGCTGGGTGCGCTTCTAAGCTCCCCGGCCCTGGATGTGAGGCTGCCGACTGCACTCCAAGTGCTCCAAGTATGCCCTCTTGGAGAGACAGAGATATTTTTAAAGCGGCGCTTCACTTGAATGGCGTTCGCTTCGGCCGGCCTGCCGCCGCCGGCGCTCAACGCTGCCGCTGCCGAGGGCGCGGCGCGCGGCCGCGACGGCGCGCAAGAGGCCGATGATGGCCAGAGACTCGGCGTGAAGCGCCGCCTCGACGGCGAGCTCGCGAGCGCGCGCGTCAACGACGACGACGCCAAAGAAGGCGACACCATTATGGTGGACGCCGCACAGATGGCCGCTGCGGCGGCCGCCGGCACCGACCGCGGCACGAAGCGCCTGCTGCACGTCGCGCTCGCGGCGCGCGACGGCTCGCACATCCCGGACATCCAGAACACGACGGCGCTCGTCACCGAGATTCGACAGCTTCTGAGGAAGACGCCAGGCTGCGAGAGGTTTAAAGTTTGCGGGGGGGGACAGCTTTGCGCGGTCGACTTCAATTTTGGGGGGTTTACGACGGTTTTGGGGATCCTGCCGACGCGCTACACCTACAGTGGTTAGCCCCACTGCACATAAATAAGATGGACACCTCAACGGGAGGGCCCTCGCAGCAGCCGGGGCCGACGCCTGCAGCCTTAGTCTTGGCCCGATCCGGCGGTATGCCACGGGTAGGCGCGTTGAGGCTTGCCGCCTCCTCGGCGCCAACGCGGCCTGTGCCGCAGCGTGCGATTGCTGCCAGACAAGAGGAGGAGCAGAGCCGCTTGGCGATAGGGCCAGGCAATCGCATTCGCCCCGTGGGCGTTGCGGACTCGAGCAACACCCGGGTCGAGGTTGCTGCGCCTCGTGGCGCAGTGATGCAGCATCGCACGCTCGTTGCGGGGGATGGAGCATCGGCGGCAGCCGGAATCCTGGCCCTGTTCACGCGCGCGCGAGACGTGCAGACAGGGTTGCCAGGTGAGACACACACCGCATCCCGCGCACGCGGAAGTTTTCTTTTTTCAGTACCTGTGTTAGTGCCAGTGCGCGCCAGTCCCGTGCCCAGTGTTGTGCGAGTGAGTACTTGGATGGAGCACTTGGAGTGCAGTTATCAACCTCACCGGGGAGCTAAGAAGCGCACCCAGTTGGCTTTTGTCGCCTTTTGTGGTGCTAGTCCGTGCCAGTCTGCTGTGAGAAGCAGGTATTTCTTTTTTACAGACTGCTGTAATGATTAGGCGCCCTGTTCACGCGCGCGCGAGACGTGCAGACAGGGTTGCCAGGTGAGAGCGAATGGCGCGGTTCACGCCTCGCACAACAGAGAGAGAGATGCGCTCTGCATGGTGGGACATAAAAGAGAGCGAGTACTCGGGCGAGTAGGCCGTGCGGTCTCGACGCTGCCGCGCGCGACTTTGCGCGCGAGGCTGTTTTGTCAAGACCAAAAGGCCACGGGCAGAGGAGAGAGAGAAGAACATAGGATGGATAGGGCGCCTGTTCACGGGTCGGCATGAAGAAAGAATCGTACGCGCAAACAACGCAACTCCCTCGCACAACACTGGGCCGCACGGGACTGGCGCGCAGACAATTTTTTCTCGGAAATCGATTTCTTTTTTTTAGGTTGAGGAGGAATCGTGCCGCAGCGTGGCCGGTTGAGCGCGAACAGGCAGGTCTGCATGCAGGCAGGCAGGTCTGCAGATAGGCAATACCAAACAACTCTAACACTCACGGGTTGTTGTGCGAGTATATGGGACAAAAGCGTCGAAAATGTCCCAAAAAAGCGTGTCTCGAGTTTGTTGCAGCTCCGCAGCCTGCGCGCGCTGCTGGGACGCACCGCTTGCTGGATACACGCACTCCCTGGGACCCAGGGAGTGCGTGTATCCAACAGGAGTGAGTAGACTCGACGCCGTACTCGAGATGGAGCTGCAGAAAGTACGCCGCCGAGCGTGCCACCGACGGCGTCCTGGCTGAGGTGGTGGAGTTTGAGAACTGAGGCTGCGGAGGTGACGCCTGAGGTACCGGCCCGTGCACAGCGACTCAGCCGGCGACCGCCACGGGCTCAGACGAGACTTGTCGACGCGTTCCGGCTCAGCTTCACCGTGGTCCTCGGGCGTCTGTCGACGTCAGGACCACCCATACAGCTCGCGGGTTTGAGGTCGCAAGAGCCAAGATGGTGGCGTTTGGACATCCCAACCATCACACAAGACAGCCTGTAGGTGATGGCGGGACGGCGCAGTGTTTGTGGCACTCGGCAGTAGGCACCCGCGGCACGGCCCCGCTGTCGGCTCTCGCGGGCTGCGGAACCGGCCCCCGAAGGGGACGGTCCGGGCGAGTGTGGCGAGCTCCTGCGCTAGTATGGGCACCCTCTATCACAACACTACTGATCCTGGTCATTAGAGCTGCCAGAGATAGCGTCAGGAGCCGGTAGGAGTCAAAACCCCTCATATTTGAGACATCGATCATCGTGTCCCATATACTCGCACAACAACCCTCACTTGATTCGAGAACTTACAAACCGAGCGCCACATGTGCTTTTCTGAACGCCTAACCCCTAAAAATTTGACTTGACATTTGAGACTTGTGTTTCATGTGAGGTCACGTCGCCCCGCTGGATGGGCAGTCCCAACATCCCCCTCCTCCAGGGCGAGAGGCGCGGCTGGCGCGTCGCGGCGGCCCGCGGTCGCGCCGACGCGGCGTCGCGGCGCCGCCCTAGCTGTTGTGCAGGTCCACCTTTGTGATGCCGCGCTTGGTGTAGTCCTGCGCCTTTCGGATGTAGTAGTTGCCAATCACGCGCTGCGCGTAGAACTGGCCGTTGAAGAAGATGATTGCGCACGCGGTGAAGAAGAGGGGCGGCGGCATCAGGTCCTGCGCCTCGCCGGCGTGCCGCGCCTGCGACCACGCGCCGAGGACGATGGTGCAAAAGGCGGTGATGCCGGGCCCGCGGATCCACGTGTTGATCGAGCAGTTGACGCGCTTCTCGGTGTACGAGGAGAGGCGTCCGCTCTTGACGGCGGCGAGCATCAGGTAGTCGACCCCGCCCGGGAGGCCGGAGATGAAGAAGGAGAGGATGTTGCCCGCGACGCCCCACGCGTAGGCAAAGTTGACGCCGCCGATGAGCGGGACGAAGAGGAGGTGGTGGAAGAGGTCGTCGCCCGAGAGGCGAAAGGCTAGCATGTGGTAGATGTGCATCGCGACGATAAGCACCGTCGGCCAGTCGGAGCAGCCGGGGAAGGGCAGCTCGGTGCAGTACCCGATGGAGAGCGCGCCGCCCGGGTTGGCCCACCAGTTAAAGAGGTCGGGCAGCGAGAGCGCCGCGACGACCAGGTTGCCGATGGCGTGCAACAGGAACCACCGCCCGGCCGCGTCGGTGCAGACGGCGGCGCACACGGTGAAGTCGACGACGACGAGGTAGATTAGCGAGAGGAGGAGCGCCGCGACGCCTGCCACGTTGTCCTGCGCCGACCAGGGCCCGCGTCGCCCGAGCGCCACGTCGAAGAGCAGCGTGGGCAGCTCGGACGCCTCGGTGGAGGTCGTCCACACGAGGAGAACGGAGGCGCACACCGAGAGCGCCGCGATGAGGGAGAGGAGGAAGGAGAGCGGTCGCTGCTCGGGGTCCTCTGCGCGCTTGGCTGGCCGGCCGGGCACGGAAGGCTGGTGCATCCGCTGATTCGGCCCGAGCGTGGCGTCCCGCAGGCCATCCAGCATCTGCTGGCTGACGGACCGAGTCATCCCTTTGCCCTCTCCCGCTGGCTCGACGACCGCGTCGTCCCTGTGCCCATCGTGGGCGGCGGCGGGCTTGGGCTGGACGGGGTACGCCTCTGGCTGCGACATTGGAGCGTCGGGCGCCAGGTGGTTTTTCAGGCTCTGCAATCAAGCCCGAGGAGAACGCCGAAGGACTTGGCGTGTTCACAGCCTTGTTATTGAGAAGAAAATACCTCGCCTTGCTCCTATGCGCTGTTCACATAAACGCACAACCCCGGGCGTGTTCACGTAAACGCACAACCACGGGCCCCGAGGAATTTTACAAGCCTCGTTATTGAGAGCTGTGAGCTGTGAGCTGTGAAGGTCGGCCCGCGGGCAGATCTTGTACCGAGGCGGTGCCAGACTACCCGCGGGCCGCCTAGATTCACAGATAGGTTGATAAGAAACAAGAAGGTCACAGGCTCTGAGAACCGCAGGCTCTGAGTTGCTCTCTGCCGTGCTCGCGCGCTGGTCCCGCCGGGCCCCGAGCCTGCCGCCCGGCCGGGGCTGGAGATACATCAGAGCTTGATGCCGCGCTCCTCGCACACGGCCACCAGCTCAGGCTGCTCCGTGTTGTCCACGCCAAGCATCTGCAGGCGAGGGGAGGCGCGATGAGCATAGGGCGGGGGAGGGGCGAGGGGCGAAGGGAGCGTCTCGCGCCTTCAAACTCGGGGCGGCCCCGTCCTTGAGGGCGGCGGCCAGCGCCTTGCAGCCCTCCTCGCCAATCTGGTTCTCGTAGAGACGGAGCATCTCGAGCCGTGGCGCTGCCCCGCTCGCGAGGACCTCCGCCAGCTGCGCCGCCTCCGCGTCGCCCCAGCCGAGCTGGACGTAGTCCAGCCTGGTCGCCTTGCCAAACTGCTCCTCGAAACGAAGGCGGCCTCGTACAACCGCTTCACCAGCGGCTTGTCGTCCTTGCCGTTGGTGAAGCTCTTCGTCTCCAGCTCCGCCGCGAACGCAGACGGCAGCAGCGGAGGGCGCCGGCCGCACTAATCCCGACCCCCGGTTTTTTCGCTCAGGTTTTCAAACTTGTTCTATCATAGTTAGCTGCTAAGTGAGAGCAAGTGGCACATCGCGTTCTCACCACGGTCGCCGCTCATGGCGCGGCGCGCCTGCGCAACGCGGCCCCGAGAGGGGCCGCCTGGCCACCGCTGCCACTGCGCCGCACGGATTTCACCCCACTTTCGCGACTGTGGCCGTCCAACAGTCTGCCGGCGCGGCGGGCGCATTCGAATGCGCCCGCTGCGCCGGCAGACTGTCAGTGCTATCCCGGGCGGCGCGCCAGCGAGCCCGGACGCTGGTCAGCCGCGAGGACAGCGCCATCGTCATCGGCGTCTCCTGCAGCAACTTCAACAGCACAAGGTAGCCGGGTCGGAGGCCTCCCGCCGAGCTGCCGAGCCACCCCGCACCCGCGCCACCCTGCCTCAGGGAGTCAGTTGAGAGGGTGCGCAAAACCTTACCAAAACTGGCACGGGTCACGCGCCGCTCGGGAGCCGCGGCGCAGCCTCCAGAGACTGCAACGACAGCGAGCATACGCGCACGCGACTAAGCAGCTAACTCGAGGGGTTTCCTCAATCAACCGAACGCACTAGGCTGGCGAAAAAACCGGGGCGCGGGATTAGTGCGCACCGTCCTGGGTGCAGTCGTCTCGGAGGCTGATGTAGTTGTACTCCTCGCCGTCACTGCTGGCCTGGCTGCGCACCGCCCCACAAAGCACCCCCTCGAGCATCTCTACAAGTACAAGTAGAAGGGCGACCTGCCCTTCTCCAAGTCGTCAACGCGCCCGGCGGCTCCGGCAAGACTTTAGCCTTGGCCACCCTCCTTGCGGAGCAGGAGGAGATCCGCTCTCGGTCGGCAACGTGGCAGCTAGTCGAGGGACTCGGTAGTTGTGACCCCCCTGAGTGTAGGTATATACCTGAGTGGGACAGGAGAGCGAGAGCTTTTGTGGTGCTGGTGTACGCAATAACGGGACAGGGTAGTCGTTCTCTCTAGCTCCCCTTCTAGCTCTTAGCATGAGCTGTGCCCTGTGTCCGACCCCTTTTGCGCAGCAACACCTTAAACTTTTAGGCCCTCCAAATTCGGGTCGGAGCGTAGCGGAGTGGGCCCCGAGTTTGAAAAGGGCGACGGACGCTTGCGTCCTAGCCTCCAACAACGCCTCCCCGGCGCAGAGGGGCCCCCGGAGGGATGCTCAACCGCTCCACGCCACGCCGCTTGCGGCGGTCCTATTCCCAGCTCCGCTGAGGGCCCGTGCGTTATACTTTTTTTAAGTTTGACGGCCGACGTGTTGCGACTCAATAAGCTCCGCGGGCAGCGAACGCCGCGATCGCTATCTACGACGGATGTTTGCTGTGTTTGCGCTGCTCGCGTTCTCCGCGGCTGCGACGGTCGACCCCAACATTCAGGCCGGATGTGACGCGGCGACATCATCGTACGACAGCGAGCTCCGGCACACGGCACGGGTGGTCACGGACAGAGCTGGAGTGCCGGCGGTCTGCGATCTGAATGCAACGGCGCCATGGATGAAGGAGGCGTACAAGTGGGACGTGACTGGCAGGCTGCTGTTTCAGGCGTCATGCGGCTGCAAATACGGCATGGCCGATTGGTGCTGCGTGTGCACCGTCGCAAAGCTGCGCGTGTGCAGCAACGGCACAAGCGTCGGGAAGGATGACGCGGCGGGTGGATTCAACCTATACACATGGATGACGGGCGCCACGTGCTGCGCCTCTCCTCCGCCGCCGGCTCCGCCACCTCTTCTACCACACGCAGTTGCCAGCCTGAAGGCACTTTCGATGCGGACAACGGCGGTGATGCTCGCAAGTGTGCCAGGGGACTCGTCGCACGAGCAAAACGCTTCCGGACCAGCAGCAGCCGCATCAGTCGGGTTAATTGGAGTGATCGCGCTGCTCGCCGCGCTGCTCTCCTCCTTTGTTCCTCGCTTGCGCGAGCTCGGTCGCGGTAGTATGGGCGACATGGCGCTGCTGTCCGAGTTTGCGGACGACGCGCCCGCGAGGTGGTGGCAGCTACGTAGGTAGGACAGAAGCGTTGGCAGTAGGTCTCGTGGAATTCGAAAAGAAAAATCCGTGGGACACAGGGGTCAAGTTCGGTTGTTATGAGGTTCCGTTATGCCGGTTGTCATAACAACCAGTGGCACTGGGGCAGTGGCCCACTCGGGGCAGTGGCCAGGGGAGGTGTTATGAGTTGCTATGAGTTGCTATGAGGTGTTATGGTAGGGTGGGCATAATAGCCATAACAGCGGTGGAGGTGTTATGAGGTGTTATGAGGTGTTAATGGGGTGTTATGAGCTGGCAGCTGCCAGCCATAACAGCCATTATTGCAATATAACACCTGTTAGTTTGTGGCCGCTCGCTCCCATATTGCATAATAACCTTGTTTGAAGCCAATATATCGTGGGCGACGCCCGTCCGCAGCTGACACGTCGTGGTGACGATGATGGCGAGGAGATCACAGTGGAGAGGAGCGGCACGGCCCTGCCAGCTGCCTGGGCTCGCTCGAGTTAGTTAGCGGTCTAGGCGCGGCACGGCTGTTTCATCTCAGTGCTTGGCGCGCCGCGAAAATTTCTTCCCCGCCCGCTGGCTTCTTCGTACTCTCGTGAGGCTGTGAAAGCACGCCCACCCAGCGGGATTGGGCCCCGAAGGCAAGTGCGTCTGATTCACAGCTGAGCAGAGTTGGTCGTCGGATTCTTGTTGTGCCGGAGGGAGTTTGGAGCTCTTCGAGTTTGTCTAAAATTCACCGATCTTCAAGTGAGCCCCCCCGGGGGACCATCGGTGCCTGCATAGCGAGGGTTTAGGTTCCAGAGGCGCTCGGACCCCCCCGGACACACGTGAACGAAACGGAGCCTGTCTAAAATCCCCGCAAACAACCGAGCTCCCACTGCCGCATCGAGCCCAGCGACGCTCTCCTCGCCAATGTCCACCCACGAGCCGCCTGCTGCCTTCTCGTGGCTCAACCTCCGCGCCGAGCTGACCGGCAAGCAGGCTCGAGTGGTAGTCGACGGCGCCAGCGGCACCGCACGCCGCGGGCGGGTGCTGGCGATCATCGGCCCGTCCGGCGCCGGCAAATCGACGCTCCTGCAGGCACTCGCTGGCCGCCTCGACCGCTCGAGCAAGCTGCGGCTCTCGGGCACGCTCGCGCCTCCGCCCTCGCGTCCCGGCGCCTTTGTTTACCAAGAGGACGCCTTCTTCAGCCGCCTCACCGTCGCCGAGACGCTGCGGTTCGCGGCGGCGCTGCGTGCGGCACAGTCCACGAGCGTGGCCGACGTGCTTGCCGCCATGGGCCTCGCCGAGGTAGCCTCGTCCGCCGTCGGCGGCGGAAAGGTGCGCGGCATTTCAGGCGGCGAGCGGAAGCGGCTCGCGATTGGCTGCGCGCTCCTCGCCGTGGACGGCCGGGCGCCGCTCTTTGCCGACGAGCCCACCTCGGGCCTCGACTCGTTCCAGGCGAGGCGGATCGTCGAGGCGATCGGCCGAAGTGCGCGCGGCGGCGACGGGCGCGCCGTGCTCCTCTCGGCGCCACTGCCGACAGCGCCGCTGCCGCTGCCGCTGCCTCCTCTGAGCCCGCCCCACGCTGCGACCAGGCGCACCAGCCGTCTGCGCGCCTCCTCGAGTGCTTTGACGACGTCCTCCTCCTCGGTGCCGCCGGCCGCACCCTCTTCCTGGGCCCGACCGCCGAGCTGCTTCCCGCCCTCGAGCGGGCGACCGGCGCCGCGCAGCCGCCCCTCCTCCGGCAGCTGTGAACGGCGTCTCTTCACACCTGCAGCTGTGAACAGGCGCCGCGCAGCCGCCCCTCCTCCGGCAGCTGTGAACGGCGTCTCTTCACACCTGCAGCTGTGAACAGGCGCCGCGCAGCCGCCCCTCCTCCGGCAGCTGTGAACGGCGTCTCTTCACACCTGCAGCTGTGAACAGGCGTAGCGCGGCCGCCCCTCCTCTCGCCGGCAGAGTGGGCGCTCGACATTGCGTCGGTCGACCCGGACGCGGCCGAGGCGAGCAAGGCGCGAGTCGCTCGCCTGGCGTTGCGCTGGCGCGAGGCGACGGCCGAGGCGACGGCGCGGCTGGTGGAGGAGGCGCCGCTCGCGCCGCTCGCGCCGGCGCGGCAGTCCGGTTGGAGTGCGCAGCTCGGCTGGTGCCTGTGGCGGAGCTGGAGGCAGTCGGGCGGGTTTGCGGCGCCGTCGCTGCTCGCGATGCGCGTCGTCGGTTCCGTGGTGCCCGGGCTCGCCTTTGGCTGCATCTGGTTCGACCTTCCGGCGGGCCGCGGCTCGCTCAAGGCCCGCGTCGGGCTGCTGCAGGTGCTGGCCAACTTTGTCGGCACACCAAAAGCGCTTGACCCGAGGCGGAGTGTGGAGCGGCGCTTCACGCGTGCGCGCTGAATAGGGGTGACGGCGGCGATGAAGGCCGTGCGCACGCTGCAGGACGGGGAGGGCGCGTGCGTGCGCCGCGAGCGTGCCGCTGGCGCCCTCCGTCTGGGAGCATATTTTTTCGGCAAGGTGGCGGCGGAGCTGCCGGTGACGCTGCTGCTCCCCGCGCTGCTCGCTTGCGTGACGCACCCGCTGGCGGGCCTCGCTTGCCCCCTGCCCGTCCTCGTCGCGCTGCTGGCGCTCGAGGCCATGGCGGCGAGCGCGCTCGGCCTCCTCGCGGGCGCTGTCGCGCCGAGCCTCGACATTGGCCTCGAGCTCACCAAGGCGCTCACGACCCTCTCGACCGTTTTCGGCGGACTGTACTTTGACGCCGCGACGCTGCCGCGGCCGCTGCGGTGGGTGCCACGCGCGAGCATCGTCCGCGTCGCGTGGGACGGTGCGGTGGCGGGCGAGCTCGCGGGGCTGGGCGGAGAGGAGGAGGAGCTGGGCGTGGAGGGCGGGAGGCGGGCGGTCGAGGGGCTGCTGGCGCTGGCGTTGGGGTTTGGGCTGGCGGCGTTTGTAGGGCTGGCGGCGAGGGCGCCGCGGTTTCAGGCGGTGGTGGGAGGGGAAGGGGGGGAGGGAGGGAAGAAGGGGAGGTGAAGGGTGAGCGCTCGAGGTGGCGAGAGACGGACGCTCGGACCATGTGTGGCTCTGCGACTGTGGAATGTGGAAAAAGCGCGAGCAGCACTTTGGAACGCCCAGCCGGGTTTGGCTAAAACCAGCTGGCCAAAGGGTGTCACAACGGGCAGTTCAGAATTCTATGTTGCGCAGGGGTGCAAAAAGAGGAGCCTTTTTTGACAAGGCAGCCCGAGTGTGCCCTCGGAATGAGCAGGGGCGGCGCGGCTCGTGAGGGAGGGCAGGGGCCCGCGCTCGGCGTCGCACGAATCGAGAGATAGTAAGAAGGGTCGCCGGGCGTAAGCCGCTCGGGCATCGGCCATCATCGGTCCACGGCGCGCGAGTAAGGTCGTCCCGCCCTGCGGGATTGGAGGCGCACCCTCTGGGCCCCGGCTGGCTGCCCTCGGACTGGGCAGGGGCGGCGCGGCTCGGGAGAGATGGTCCATGCTCGGCGTCGGACGAAAATCCGGGGTAGGGTCGCCGGGCGGCGAAGGCGGCGCCCGGGCATCGGCCATCATCGGGCCACGGCGCGCGAATAAAGTCGTCCCGCCCTGCGGGATTGGAGAAGCGCCCTCTGGGCCCCGGCTGGCTGCCCTCGGACTGGGCAGGGGCGGCGCGGCTCGCCAGTGAGGGGCCGTGCTCGGCGTCGCACGAAAATCCTATAGGGTCACCGGGCGGCGAAGCCGGCGCTCGGGCAGCGGCCATCATACGGGGCCCACGGCGCGAGAAATAACAGTCGTCCCCGCCCTGCGGGATTGGAGGGGTACCCTCTGGGCCCCGGCTGGCTGCCCTCGGACTGGGCAGGACCAGGCGCGGCTCGGGAGCGAGATGGTCCATGCTCGGCGTCGCACGAAAATCCGATAGGGTCGCCGGGCGGCGAAGGCGGCGCCCGGGCGTCGGCCATCATCGGGCCACGGCGTGCGAATAAAGTCGTCCCGCCCTGCGGGATTGGAGGGGTACCCTCTGGGCCTCGGCTGGCTGCCCTCGGACTGGGCAGGACCAGGCGCGGCTCGCCAGTGAGGGGCCGTGCTCGGCGTCGCACGAAAATCCGATAGGGTCGCCGAGCGGCGAAGGCGGCGCCCGGGCGTCGGCCATCATCGGGCCACGGCGTGCGAATAAAGTCGTCCCGCCCTGCGGGATTGGAGGGGTACCCTCTGGGCCCCGGCTGGCTGCCCTCGGACTGGGCAGGACCAGGTGCGGCTCGCCAGTGAGGGGCCGTGCTCGGCGTCGCACGAAAATCCGAGGTAGGGTCACCGGGCGGCGAAGGCGGCGCCCGGGCGTCGGCCATCATCGGGCCACGGCGCGCGAATAAAGTCGTCCCGCCCTGCGGGATTGGAGGGGTACCCTCTGGGCTTCGGCTGGCTGCCCTCGGACTGGGCAGGACCAGGCGCGGCTCGCCAGTGAGGGGCCGTGCTCGGCGTCGCACGAAAATCCGATAGGGTCGCCGGGCGGCGAAGCCGGCGCCCGGGTGTCGGCCATCATCGGGCCACGGCGCGCGAATAAAGTCGTCCCGCCCTGCGGGATTGGAGAAGCGCCCCCTGGGCCCCGGCTGGCTGCCCTCCGACTGGGCAGACCAGGCGCGGCTCGCCAGAGATGGTCCATGCTCGGCGTCGGAAGAAAATCCGATAGGGTCACCGGGCGGCGAAGCCGGCGCCCGGGTGTCGGCCATCATCGGGCCACGGCGCGCGAGTAAAGTCGTCCCGCCCTGCGGGATTGGAGGGGCACCCTCTGAGCCCCGGCTGGCTGCCCTCGGACTGGGCAGGACCAGGCGCGGCTCGGGAGAGATGGTCCATGCTCGGCGTCGGACGAAAATCCGATAGGGTCGCCGGGCGGCGAAGGCGGCGCCCGGGCATCGGCCATCATCGGGCCACGGCGCGCGAATAAAGTCGTCCCGCCCTGCGGGATTGGAGAAGCGCCCTCTGGGCCCCGGCTGGCTGCCCTCGGACTGGGCAGGGGCGGCGCGGCTCGCCAGTGAGGGGCCGTGCTCGGCGTCGCACGAAAATCCGATAGGGTCGCCGGGCGGCGAAGCCGGCGCCCGGGTGTCGGCCATCATCGGGCCACGGCGCGCGAATAAAGTCGTTAGGGTTAGGGTTAGGGTTAGGGTTAGGGTTAGGGTTAGGGTTAGGGTTAGGGTTAGGGTTAGGGTTAGGGTTAGGGTTAGGGTTAGGGTTAGGGTTAGGGTTAGGGTTAGGGTTAGGGTTAGGGTTAGGGTTAGGGTTAGGGTTAGGGTTAGGGTTAGGGTTAGGGTTAGGGTTAGGGTTAGGGTTAGGGTTAGGGTTAGGGTTAGGGTTAGGGTTAGGGTTAGGGTTAGGGTTAGGGTTAGGGTTAGGGTTAGGGTTAGGGTTAGGGTTAGGGTTAGGGTTAGGGTTAGGGTTAGGGTTAGGGTTAGGGTTAGGGTTAGGGTTAGGGTTAGGGTTAGGGTTAGGGTTAGGGTTAGGGTTAGGGTTAGGGTTAGGGTTAGGGTTAGGGTTAGGGTTAGGGTTAGGGTTAGGGTTAGGGTTAGGGTTAGGGTTAGGGTTAGGGTTAGGGTTAGGGTTAGGGTTAGGGTTAGGGTTAGGGTTAGGGTTAGGGTTAGGGTTAGGGTTAGGGTTAGGGTTAGGGTTAGGGTTAGGGTTAGGGTTAGGGTTAGGGTTAGGGTTAGGGTTAGGGTTAGGGTTAGGGTTAGGGTTAGGGTTAGGGTTAGGGTTAGGGTTAGGGTTAGGGTTAGGGTTAGGGTTAGGGTTAGGGTTAGGGTTAGGGTTAGGGTTAGGGTTAGGGTTAGGGTTAGGGTTAGGGTTAGGGTTAGGGTTAGGGTTAGGGTTAGGGTTAGGGTTAGGGTTAGGGTTAGGGTTAGGGTTAGGGTTAGGGTTAGGGTTAGGGTTAGGGTTAGGGTTAGGGTTAGGGTTAGGGTTAGGGTTAGGGTTAGGGTTAGGGTTAGGGTTAGGGTTAGGGTTAGGGTTAGGGTTAGGGTTAGGGTTAGGGTTAGGGTTAGGGTTAGGGTTAGGGTTAGGGTTAGGGTTAGGGTTAGGGTTAGGGTTAGGGTTAGGGTTAGGGTTAGGGTTAGGGTTAGGGTTAGGGTTAGGGTTAGGGTTAGGGTTAGGGCTAGGGTTAGGGTTAGGGTTAGGGTTAGGGTTAGGGTTAGGGTTAGGGTTAGGGTTAGGGTTAGGGTTAGGGTTAGGGTTAGGGTTAGGGTTAGGGTTAGGGTTAGGGTTAGGGTTAGGGTTAGGGTTAGGGTTAGGGTTAGGGTTAGGGTTAGGGTTAGGGTTAGGGTTAGGGTTAGGGTTAGGGTTAGGGTTAGGGTTAGGGTTAGGGTTAGGGTTAGGGTTAGGGTTAGGGTTAGGGTTAGGGTTAGGGTTAGGGTTAGGGTTAGGGTTAGGGTTAGGGTTAGGGTTAGGGTTAGGGTTAGGGTTAGGGTTAGGGTTACGGTTAGGGTTAGGGTTAGGGTTAGGGTTAGGGTTAGGGTTAGGGTTAGGGTTAGGGTTAGGGTTAGGGTTAGGGTTAGGGTTAGGGTTAGGGTTAGGG